CACTGCCATACACTTCACAGAGCTTCAATGAAAACAAATTGGACAATTATTGAATAACTTTATATCTCAGGTGGACTTTAATTTACTAATAGTATTAACTATTTTTCCTCATATAAAGGGAAAAAATAATGGGAGGAGGAAACTCTTCTTGAAAAAATGTAACTTGTGCTAGAAGTGTGCAGACCCTCAGGTTACCCCAGCAAGTGACGCTAAGCGAGGAGGGCATTGGGAGGAGAGGGCAGTCTGGGAACACGGTCACGTCGGAAAGCTCGTTTTGTGGAAACGCAGTGGAGGAAACGTCCCACCTGCCTTGTTAGGGCCAATTTGCAGCTTTAATGGAGGATTAAGAAGTTAGGATGGTGCCTGCTAGGAAGGCGAGCTTGAGCACAATTTGTGGAGATCTGATGTTGAACTGCTAAGGCTAAGGCAATGCAAACACGTTACCCGGGCACAGTCTGTGAGGGCTGACCAGCCAGGTTTAGGGGTCACGCGAGCAGGAGAAGGGGCACGTTCCTTGTGACCTGTAGGAGTGAGGGCGAGGAGTGCTGAGAACACTCCAGGCAGCTCATTGGAGGAGAGACTGGACACCAGTCTTACCGTACGAAATCTGGGAGCCTGAGGGATTTATTGCTCTGCAATTAGCAATGAAGGAGGAAAGAACATATAGAAGAGGTGATGAAGAATAAATTTTTTGCTTCGGTGAATTACTTTAGGGAGTCCCCAGCAGATACAACTGGGAGGAAACAAACTGTGCTTTCTGTAAGAATGGAATTATTCTTGAGAAAAAAAAATCTACTAGAAAGAGGAGTGAGCATGCTGGGGAGGGGATAACATCTCCAGCCTGGTATGAGGCCAGAGTTCAACCAGAGGGCCTCAAAGCCACCATCATTAGGTTGCTTTAGCCCTTTTGTAGATGATTGGCTTTCTAACTGAAAATCAAAGTAGCACAGGTCCCTTCTACAGAGGAGACCTAAGGAACCCTCACTGGCTGGAAACTGTACAGCAGGGCTCTGGCCTCACCTGGTAGCAGGTCACGTGTGCTCCTCCAAACTGGTTTTCCTACTGAACAAAGAAATGTTGGGAAGGCACGCTTCGTGGGCTTTTGTCTGCTCATGCAAAATCTTAGACGGGCAATTGCGCTTAATAGCACATGCAATCGCCCCATAATTTTTCGCTTTCCTGAGAAGTCAACATGCAAGCGAATGGCCACTTGTCACCATTTGGTAAACATACAGCAAAACAAAACGTTTGCAGAGGTTTAAGATACTGGATTTGGGGTTGTACATTTGAAGTGGAAGGCTTTGGAGTGCGCTTTGTTATCTTCTCAGTTTTTGTCACATAGGGAAATTTATTTTACAAAGTGTTTGGGGTTTGCGTGCCCAGGTTCTGGTAGTGCTGGGGGCTGCAGGGGCGGCTTCTGTGAGGAGCTGCCAGAAGC